TTGATATTGTATTAATATTGTAAGGAGAAATTCTGCCTTGGTCACTCATGGGAGTTAAAGGGTTAAGCAAAAATCAAATCTAACAGGTGACACATTATTTTAATTTCTACATGAAATGGTAAAAAATTGAAAATAATTTTGAAAAATTTGTAATAAGTACAGCTTCATACATAGTCAAACCAATCCTGGTTTAGCATACCACTTAACATGACAAATTAAGGTCAATCAGCCTTAAATAACAGGCTGATCACAGGACAGATGACTTCATGACATAATTATTATTTATTTGCAAAAAAGTCATAAAATCCTACTTTCATTCTAACTTTTGTTTTCACAAAACTGCTTGCAATGGGGAAACAGATAAATTCACACAAGTTGCCCAACTTGTTTTCTGAGAAAAATTCTGCCTTAGTAGCAAAAATATCCAAATAACTTATCAGCAACACATGAAGAAAATCAAAATTCACAACACTTGGAGAAAATTGAATAGGGGCATGAAAAACAACCTTAAATTCTATAGACTGCAGGATTTCCACAAAATTGTCATTAATTTCCTGGTGAAACACAGGGAAAATTTTGGTGGTGCATCAAAAGTCACCTAGATTTTTACTCCATGTACTCCTTTAATTGTTATTGTGATGAACAGTATATCATAACTCTTATTCACCATACAAAAACACTTTAGTGCAACTTAACAACAGTCAGTGCTCTATATCTTGACTTAAAATGTATCATCTAATGTGATTAAAGCATGATGATAAAGTGGCTACCAGATGAAGGGTGTGAGTTCTCCACAATGTCTGATGAAGGACTTGTTAAATCATTCATTTTGATATACTCAATTGTTGTATTTCGCATAACAATAGGTTTGAACATTACACTCCATAAATAATGAATGTGGTCGGCAGACTAGAAAACCTGAAAAAGGGAAAAGATATCACATTAGAAGAATACTAGTAACTTCTTACTAATCAAACATAAGGGCCATACTGGGGAATATTGACCTGAGGTTATAGCATTATGGACAGAGCACAGTGTGGTCTGTAAAAAATAACAGAGAACCCATATTCCTCAGTATGCTTCATGCAAGTGAGGTTAGTGTGTAATTTATTGTATGGCACTTGGACCAAACTTGTTTATTGTTAATTCCTAGTTTTTAACAACAAAAATACATGGCTTATGACCATTTCCATGGAATTCATCTAGATGGCAAAATTGCAACCCACTATGAACCAATCAGAATGCTTGGAATTACCACAAAAGTAACCAGCCATAAAATAATAGTGTGTATTTAACAATAAGCTTCCATGTGTTGTTCATCTGTGTAGGAGATAGATCAAAGATGACATCAAAATGTAAAAACTAAAGGGTGGATTCATCTTCTGTGATCTACAACTAAACAGACTCACATTAATAGTGAATCTTTCTGTTTTGTAAAAAAAAAAGAAGCATCTATGTTGTTATTGGTGACATCTTTCCTCCAGAAGATTTTAAGTCTGAACCAATCAAAATGCCTTACTGTATAATTTAACCTAACTATGAACCATTTCAAAATTATTTTAACCAAAAGACTTTTTCTGCATTGACTTGAAATCGAAGACAATCATATGAACAAAATTGATATCACCCGATCCGTGTTTTGGATTTCAAAAGATTTCACAAAATTTAAAAGTAGATACTTGCATATTAGCACATTCAACAACATTCATTTGATGAAACATGCTGAAGGGTAACGCGCTTCAACTATTTAGTTGTTAAAGAACTTTCATGTTCATCCTCTTGCTTCCATCATTTGAGTGGTTGACAATGCATACTCCAACTAGAATATATTGGTTCAAGTCCGAAATAAACAGTATGAAATCAGTTGTCTGGAGTTTGAAAACTCTTCTGGGTATGAATTTCAAAACTGACGAAAAACGTCAAGCCATGTTCGTAGAAGGGATAATCGCGGATCAGTTTCGAACGCCGTTAAATAAAGGGGGAAGGGGGCGGGGCGGGAGGAGACTTGTCTAAGCAAATTCAACACTTTTGCTTAAATTCAATTCCCGAACAGCAAGGTTTAGGACTATATTGAAAAGTTACGAGACTTAAGTCGTAATATCAAATGGCTTTCGAATAATACCGAGTAATCAACACTATTTACGCTAACATATCGAATGAATTAATGGAGGATTCATACGATGCTTAATGGAATGATATCAGTGAACGATCAACAATCATGGAAAACGAGCTTAGCTTATAGAAGGCAAGAAAAAAAGGTTACTTACCGGAAAAATGACGATATATTGATCTTGATTCAAGCCGCCATTTTGATCAAATGACATGACCAATAGCATCACCTCTAACATTAGGAGTACGGGAGATGGAGTATTCTTATCTTGCGTTTGATTGGCTCAGACTTGGGACATGTAAAAATATCTTCTTCTTTTAAGGTTTCCTCATCGTTAAATTATTTGCTGGTAAAATCTCTTCAGAAATCGGTTCACGCACAGAGTTGATGAGCGATCATTGAAATTTTCCACCTTAAACAATTCCCTGCTATACCTTTTGTAATACCAATAAATACGGCAATACAAACGTGCGTGCGTATAGTGGCTAGTAAACTTTAAGGTGCTACAGGCCTCTGAAGAATAATTATTGACATAAAATAAGTTGCAATAGCTTCAAACGCGAGAGTAATACGGTAAAATTTTTCATAAGTCGATAATAAGTGCCCCTTGTTTATCAAAGTTCACAGATCATGCAACGATGTGTTGTTGCGTAACGCACGAAAGTAACTAAACTGGAGCAAATAAGATGTGCCTTGTGACTTTTTGAGACCCTTGCAGCCTTTGCGCTAAAACAGACGGTCAAACATTTATCAGATTTCTCCACAAATAGCCATTTGTATGATACGATTGGCAGCCAGCCATCCTCAAATCCTTCGATGAGCTCGCTCATATTGAAACGTAGGTATTAATGATAAATTAATATTTGGAAGACAACTTTCAATATTTAGCTCTCTCTTATGGATATGAAAATACTTTTAAGGTCTTGAGATACTATAACCTTAATTCGTGGGAATCTTAAAATTACAAAACAGATTAACCGGGTACTCATGTGATCACCAACGATGTCAGCTCTCCGTCAGCTGATCGATGAGAACTCTGACTTCGGTCAAGAAAATCTGGCCCCTTTCATTGTTAAAGCCAACAACAAACGATACTGCATTTCACGAAATTTTATGAAGCAGATACCTTTGGCTACTGCAGGAGGCGTTTCATTCTCGTCCATCGATTTGTACATGATCAACCACTGGAACGTGCAACGAGTGAAAAGTGACGATCGGTTATGTCACACGATTTAAATACTAACTGCACTATCATGACACAGCAAAGAATTTCACGTTATATATTAACCCGGTTACAAAAATTCGACGAAATCCTTTGGTTCATTAGCTCTCCGCATGGCAAAGTGGGAATCGTTGGTTCATAACAAGTTGAATGACTAATTTACATATACATGGTCGTATACGTAAAACACTAAAGGTGGGTTACTATAGCAATTCACTGAGAAAGGAAACATTCCACGGCTCTACGTAAAGTTACTTCCGGTCCTACTGAGCTGGATGGTCGCGTCAAAGTGATATCGACCAGAAGGAGGTCACGGCTTTGGGTGTTGCGTTACGAAAACTTTCAGATGGCACGAATTTACAAGAAGTTGAAACGTTAAAACTGAATGAACTGTCTCGATTTCGGGCGGAAAGGTAAGATGCAGTCCTAATTTTGTAGTGAAAATAAAGCAG